ATACAGGCCACTGGATCTGTGTAGTTTACTGCTTTTTTTCATCAATTCTGCAACAACTAGGTACCTCACAGCTCTGAGTGCTAGGCAGGCTCAGTGTTCCCATGTGAACTCAATGGCAAAAAGGTGAGATTTTTTAGGAGATATTTCACAAGGAAAGGACTATGCCTTTTGAAAATCTGTGTGCATTACTAATGTGTATTACCCATAAAATAGCTATATAAACCAAGGCTCAAGAGGGAATGTTTATTTTGGGTACTTTGTTTGATGCTAACACACATTTAAAAAATGTAACAAGTGTAAAAGTGGCTATACCTAAGCTTGCAAATTGAGCCTTTGGGACCAGGGTGTGTTTTGTTTGACTTTTTTTCTATTATAATTTCCTGTATGTAGCTATGATAAGAACATGAGTGCCAATTACCAGCAGTCAGACAGTTTCCCTTGGCACATCCCTTGCTTTAATCCCTAAAATAGAAGACAGAACTCACTGTAATCATGATGAAATAAATCACTGTTGCTACCTGAGGCCTTCAGCTAGCCTCGGGCAACATATAAGCTTATAGTTTCAATGGTTAGTATAAGTCAGCATATGTTCATCAGAGGTCCATGTTGGCATAATGCTAATAAAAAGTGTGTAACTTCAAAGTAGAAGTAAGCATAGTTTTGCCTCTGAGTGTTTTAGTACAAATATAAATGACCCTGAAACTGTTTCTTCTTACTAAATCTCAAAGTAATGTGATACTACTTTTGTCTTCTAAGCATGTAAATAATCAGAAATATCACTTTAAGATATATTTAATGTGTACTATGGATCATTAGATAACATAACTTTATAGTATATACCTTATATTAAATATATTTTTAATATATTTTTGTTTGTATATATATGTGTATACATATGTAAGTTTTTATCATTTCACTGGAGAAGACTGTTCACACTAATAACATGAAATAATTTTATCCTGTAGATTCTGCAGTTCATGATTTCATGTTTAATGTGACACCTTGCACCATGCTGAACACATCCATCTGGCATGCTGCTCTTACCTGGGTTCCAAGTGAGTCACTCATGCCTAGAGAGTTATATTCTCCAAGTGGAAAATAAAAAAAAAAAAAGAGAGAGAGAGAGAGGGCAAGAGAGAGAACGCAGGCAGAAGGATTATACCTTATACTCAATGTCAAATTATTTAGGAGATAAGTTTCTGTGATTAGCAATGCAATAGACGAAATACAGCGATGGACAGAAATTATGATTTCTAGACCATTTGTGGGAATAAGTGTGCCTGAGTTTGACTTGTTTGAGCAGTTGCCAGAGCTCAGCACACTGACTGGTACTGTACATGCAAATTTGAGACAGTTCAGGTACTTATGGAGAAAACAGACAATATTTTGCAGCACATAAGCTCTTCTGGTCTGAAAAAGACACAAGCCATTTTAAGGAGAGATAATATCCTGGCAGGAATTCTACTAAGAACATGCATACTCCAGAAGCTGGAAATGTGGTAATGGACTGTGTGTGCAGACCCAGCTTTAAACTACTCTTTAAACACAGCTTTAAGCCAGTAAATTGTGTTAGTCAAGAAAGAGCTGTATCATAAATTTCGCATAATCTGTAAAAGCTCTGGAGGTGTGCTAAGATTGCTTCCATAGAAAGATATCTTTACAAGGGCTACAAGCAACCAGCACAGATTGTTTGTAATACTTGCTCACAGCTACGTATGTGGGACCTCCAGAGTTCTCTTCCGGGGATTTATTTGGACGAGCTGTGGAGCTGAGTGAACTCTATTGTCTTTGCTGAATGAATTAGAACAGATTGTGAAATTTGTCACTCAAATATTTCTTAAAACTGATGCTTTTTGATAAGAAAACAACTTTTTTTTTTTTTTTTCTGGAAATTACAGTTTTCAAGGTATGCATTTTTGTTAATTTTGGGGAACTCTAAAAAATCCATATTTCAGAGAAAAATAGTGTTTATTTAAATAGTGTTTGTCTGTGCATGTACTTTTCCTACCTGCCAGTTACCTTTTTCTTACTTGCAATGTCTCTACTAGAAAGTGACATCGCCTTTTTGAAGGTAGTCTTCACTGTCTGGTATGATGGTGCCAAAGCATTACACTGGAAAGAAATTATTTGCAGTGGGGCCGATGATGAGTACTATGTGTGTGAAATGCTGAAAGGAGGTCAGTATGAAAAATACACCTTTTTCTTGCCTTGCAGGTTGCCCTCTCAACAGGGGCATAACCTGTTCCTTACTACTTATCAGATATTTTAAAAGACTAATTGGTCAACCCATGCAGATAGATAAAGTGGAGTTTCCAACTTCAGTTCTTTAGTGTTCTCATGTGGTGGTTTCCATCTCTTTAAATTGGGATTGATAATATCCTTTATCACATTATGACACTTTTATTGTTAAACAACTTTAAAATGACATGGGAAGACCACATATGACTGGACTACACACAAAACTTGAGAGGATCTAGGGACACTACTACCTTACAGACAACAGCTTATTCAGGTAAATGTATGGATGGTATTTTAGAGATACTCTCTCCATCTATGTGTATTTTTATTTTTTTATTATTATTATTAGAGAAGAGTCTATCCTGTTTCAGGATAGAACATTAACATGCCAAAGGCTCTTATGCAGAGAATTCAGGATATCATTTTAAAAGCCAAAAAGACCAGGACAGTGCTCAGAATATGCCTTCCACATTTTCCTTTCTTTGTAAGTGAATATCAGATCTCTTCAGTTATCATTTGTCTGAACTACTATTACAAGTTAAATTATTGGATTTATCACAGTAGGGTGGAATGGTAGAAGATGTTGCAGTGGCTTTCTGATTATTTTCTGTTTTCTAACATGTGGTTTAGACAAATAGGCAGAGTTGTAGAAGAATAAAGAGGTGAAGGCTTTATGCCTGGAAGAGTAAATGGCATTGGTAGTGCTGCTGAGAGATACGCTATGTTGAAGTTATTCAGAAAGTTTCATTGATGGCTCGATGATTAAATAACCATTTATATTGTAATTCTCTCTGTTTTACAGAAACAATTACAACAACATTTGACATTAAAGGAAAAAGAACAATATTTCCAAAGGTACTTTTCCACATTGTATATAAATAGTGATAAAATAACATACTTCATAGAATCATGGAATCATAGAATCACAGAATTGTAGAATCACAGAATCATGGAATCACAGAATGGTTTGGGTTGGAAGGGACTCTTAAGGCTAATCTTGTTCCAACTCCCTGCCATGGGCAGGGACACCTCCCACCAGACCAGGTTGCTCAAAGCCCCATCCAACCTGGCCTTGAGCACCTCCATGGATGGGGCATCCACAGCTTCTCTGGGCAACCTGTGCCAGTGCCTCACCACCCTCACAGTAAAGAATTTCTTCCTAACATCTAATCTAAATCTCCCCTTGTTTAATTTAAAGCCATTATCCCTTGTCACCACACCCCCTGAAAAAGAGTCCTTTCTTTAGCTTTCATGAAGGCCCCCTTTAGGCGCTGGAAGGCTGCTGTAAGGTCAGAGCCTTCTCTGACCTAGAGCCTTCTCAAAGCCTAGAACCTTCTCTTCTCCAGGCTGAACAGCCCCAGCTCTCTCAGCCTGTCTTCATAGGAGAGGTGTTGCAGCCTCTGATCATCCTCGTGGCCCTCCTCTGGACTCACTTTAACAAGTCTTATGTCTTACATTAATATATTTGGTGGAAAGATAAGTTCACCCAAACTGTAGCAACTGTCAGAATTTTTTTTTATGCTTGAAAGGATGAGTCCAGATTAATAGTACCTCTGAAATGTTAAATGTTTTCAGGTTATTATTCCCCTATCATTCCTCCTTTATTTTATAAAAGAAAAGATCAAAGATATAAGTTAATGTAACTTCTATTGTTCCATTCCATTTGGTAAATTATTTCTGTTTCCCTTTTGAATAAATCTGTCCATATTCTTTCTGCCCATTATACTTTCTCTTAGTTTCTTTTCACATGCTGATCTCTTCCTCCCTGAAACCCTTCTCAAAGATTAGAAGAGGGATAACAATATTCAAAAGTAAAAGCAATGTTCCAGTGTTAAACCAGGAACTCTGCTCAAGTCCTGGAGCTCTGCTCTGTGAGGGAAGGTGAGCTGGGACCGCTGGGCCACCAGTGCTGGCACTAGCAGGGCACTGTCACTCAGTGCCCAGTCAAGGCAAGCAATTCAGGGCTGGTGACTGTGACCAGAGCGAGCTGAAAGCCCTGGCACTGTGGTTTAGGCTAAATACAAAAGATCACTAGGCAGCTTGAGACCTCAGGTAGCCCCTTGGCCAAGAATGGGCAGCATTATGCACTAATTTCCTTATTTTCTCATTGGAATTTAGGGAGATTATAGTGTTATTATAGAAGCGTTCTCTGATGATTCTGAGAAGAATATGGTCATGTGCGTGAATTACACCATGATAGTGAAGAAAGATCCTTTCTGAACGTGACAGACATTTCAGATGAATCTGGAACACAGAGGCTGCTTCTGCAAGCAACTGGGATCCAATCTAGGAAATACGAAACACTCTAATTTTCCTGAAGCAAAAAACATTGTGTTCTGTGTGGAAAGCTACAAGATGGAGAGTCTTAGCAATTCATAGCATGGCTGCAATTGGATCCTCAGCCAGTGCACACAAAATCTCTTGGAATCAAGCATCCTGATGATCCCACAGGATAACTCCCCGTGGATATCAGAGAGCCGCATTTCAGTGTGGTGCCTTGGGTTATAAAAAAGCCAAGTACTTCAGGTTACACTAAACAAACAAAAAGAATTTTTGAAGCCTTGAAGTGCAAGAACTAGAAGTTTGCCAATACTCAACTTGAAATATAACAGCATTTGAATCTGGAAACACTGTCGTTTTTTTTCTTTTGTCTTTTTTCTTTTTTTCTTTTTTATTTCTTTTAACAATAAAATTTGTTAGTACAATCGGCTTGTGAAAACCCTTTTATTCTTGGTCCTCTTCTGATGATTTTTAGATGTTTCCTAATGTTCCACTCCATCTTCATGGAGCTGAAGAGGAGCAATGATCTGTTACGTGGCTGACGTTAATAAAATCCAAAGTGAAGTATGTTTTCAGCTGCACTCATCCAGTACAGCTGAATTCAGCCAACCAGAGCTATAACCACGAACACACAGGCTCATAGCCTGTTTTTATGTTTTGTTGAGCAAGGAGCTAAAAATCTGCTGGGCAGAGAACCCGCAGGCTGTCTCCTTCAGAAGCAGGAGGGTGGTTCTTGCTTGAACTTTTTCTCAGTTACCAAAAGCAAGTTGAAAGGTCTTACTGTGGCTTCTGCCTCTTGGGTAGCTCAGTGCTCAGTGCCCACCTTCCCTCCCTGCTGCACCTCTGTGCTTGAGACCTTTCACAAGGCTTTGATGGAGGACAAGGTTTGGCCCTTAGGAAGAGAACCAGAACTCCTTCAGGTCTCATGGCCCTTTGGTGTCATGCACGGAGAAGGACAGCAGACTGGCGCAGTGTGCAAGGGCTTCCTGCTTTCAGACGGGTACTGTACGTACAACATCAGGATGCTGTGTCCTCACACTCAACTTTAGGCTTGGTGAATTAAGGCACTTTTTCCCGCTACAGGTCCCCGTGTTGATGCTGTGCGTTGTGCTGGCCGCTAGGTCGTGCTGTGTCTGGCAGATTGTTTCAAAATGTCCGAAAACGTGAAAACGGGAACTATCCACCCCTCCTCTCCCAGGCTGCTAAATAGCAAACGTGAAAATTAGCAGAAGCAAAGCTTTTCATCCCACTTTAGAATATTTCAAGTTGGGCACTGCATAAAAAATAATAATAATAAAAAAAAAGTATATGAAAACACATGCACACAAATATATTTAGTCCATTTAAAATAGTTTTTAAAAAGCTAGTTTGGCAATCCAAGGTAAAGTCACCAGGAATCAATAAAAATATGAGATAGGACTGCATTATGGCTGGAGACAAGAAGTAACAATGACATCCAAGTGGCAGTGAAAAACATCTGTGATACATTCATGTATCACAGACCATGACAGGAGCAGCCCATCACTGTGTTACTGCTTATGTTTGAATGAAATTACCAGTGTTGTAACCCATTTCCTCTTAAGCTAAAATAGCAGCCAGACAGGCTGATAACCAAGTTCTACTTTTCTTCTTCTATTTTGCTTGTTAGTATTACCTGCTTAGGGAAAAGGTTTTACTTACTATGATGATCTCTCGTACTTATTTCACAAAATTTTCCAACCAGATGAAACCTCAAAAGAGTTTTTAGTGACAGTGTTCTGAGATTGTTTTTGTCCTGAATTATTTTGGAGGTTAGATGAAATGTTTTATTTATTAAGTACCAGGTGCCACAGGTAGGAGAAACTAACAGCTCTTGGAAATCAAATATATTCATGTGCCCCATGTTTTTTTCATAAACATGAGTTTTAATGCCTTATAAATATTACAGACATTTACAGTATATGCTGAGGTAGAATTAGAATTTCTGTATCTAAATAGGGATGTTTACAGATAAACATATTCATTCAGCAGCTTACATTGCAGACTTTTATAGTGTAGCTCTAGCTGAAAGGTTATGGTTACACATGCCAGCAGCTAGGATTGCGAGGCAGAGAGCAGGAGCCACAACTTTATAAAGCCAAGACCTTTCAAAGGCCTCCAGCCTCTCTCCTGCACATGATCGAAGGTTTCCACTCACTGCAGTATTGTTGGCTGTCTTTCCGTGCTCCCTTGTGTGCAAGAAGAGACAGGATTTCTGTAAGGTGCAAGATCATGCAGGCAGCTTGCCCTGACGTTGCCCAGGTACCACAGTGTGCATGGAGCAGCGGAAGGCAGAGCTTTGCTCTCTGTATCCTGCTCTCCAGGAGTTGCTGGTACAGTACTTTTCTTTCTTCCTTTGTTGCCTGTAGTTGACAAAAGTTGTCATTTAACTTGCTTCCTTTCCAAATTTTTTCTGAGCCCACACCCAGGACTCTCCAACAAAGAGGAGTCTATTTAGGACGAGGGGAATTGCTGGAACTCAGTAAAGACTGGTCTGAAATTTTCTTCCACTTACTGGGTCAGCAAACATTGATCCATTTTTTCACTTCTTCATCTCCTGGCTCTTCATTCAGAATCTGAATGGTGTGAATGCTGTGAAGTAAGCCATTCACTAAGTAATTTTGGCTTAAAGCATTCAATGAGAAACACAGGTTCTGATATATCTGTATTTTGCCAAGAGTTCCAGTGAGCTGTGCAAACCCCCATCCCCCAGCTATAAACCTAAACAAATTGAGGAAGGCCTGGTGTGCAGCTATAGCATGAAACTAATATCTAAAACCTTCACAAATCTCTCTTTTTCTCCGTCTCATTACTGTTGTTTTTAAGCGGCTGTCAGGATTTGCTGCAGATGGGAAAATAGCTTTTCTTCACCCCCTCACCCTCTGTCGCCAAATATGTAATTATCAGAAGAAGCAGTTCCTGTAAAATGTGTTTTTCAATAAGAGCACACACTTTCTGAGCTGTGTTATTATGGTTTCATTTGATAAAAACAGTAAAGCACACATAATTTTACACAAGAGAAGTCCTCCTGACCAGAGTAACGCACACATTTGCTGGCTCAAATAGTAACATCATTTGGGATGGAAGTAGAAAGAAAATTCCAGATAACTGAGATTTTACGAAAGCATATCGTGTTTCTAGGGGTGTTTGGAAAGACAAAAGCAGTCACTCAGTCACCAGTTGGCTTGGCTGGTAAAAAGCACACGTAGTTCTCCTGAGGGAATAAACTATATAGTGCCTGCAGCAAGAAGGAGTTGGACTGGATGATGCAGGAGATAGGTCCTGATCTGCACTACAGGCATCAAAGGAGAAACAGCAGCATTAATCCCTTTTGCACATTTTTTTTTTTTCCTCTGTGGAAAATGCTAGTAATTGCCTTTGAAGCGTCAGTGTAGCGCACGGTGCTGAGTAACCTCAGCTGCTGCATTCTGCCCGCATGAGCCTGCCAGCACAGTGAGTTCAGGGGCAGCAGATGGGGATATGACATTTACAATGGGAAGAGATGGGAAAGGAGGGCTGGCATGCCTGGAGAGCTCAGGGGAGAGAGGACAGGAGAAAGAAACTGTGGAAACTCTCTTTGCTTGTATTACAAATGAGTGGACTTTAGCAATCCCAGAAAATAGTCACCGTGCACGTGCACTGACTTTTCTGGATCCTAGACGTGGGCCTTGCTGCATGCTTCCTGTAGATAAGTATGTCCGTGACATCTTTTTCTTGACATACATTTCATACTGGCAAAGAGAGGCCTTATATGTATATAAAAAATATATATGTATATAATAGATATGCATATGCATATATGCATGTACATATACACATATGTACCTGGCCCAACAGTTTCCCAAAGCTTCTGCCTGCAAAAGAACCTTTTTCTGTCTTGTGATTTAGACTAAATACCTGTCAAAGGTGTTTTTAAAATTAAATTTCTTTCTGCCATAACTAAGAAATCAAAACTTTTAATAGCAAACCAGTTTCTTTGCTCACAGGATGGAACAGTCATTCCTTCTGAGTATTAAGGTCTCTGTATGCCCCTGTTTTCCTGTTCTGAACAAAAACTTAATGTACAACAGAATAGATTTTCTTAAACTGTAACTTCTGTTAGTCAGGCACACCCACTATGTTTTGAGTTCTCCATGACATTTGACATCTCTCCAGAAGAAATACCTCCATCCTAATTTTGAATTTGGATTAATTCTCTTACACATTCTGTTCAAGCAGAATCAATTTAGACATTTCACTGTATTATCTATTTTTTCTTAAAATTTTAATATAGTTATGTAGTTTACATTTTCATTAATTGAAATTAAAAAACAAAACAAAACACTCAACTTCAATAAGTAAAGTTAAGTATAGAAAACATGGCAAAATGTCAGTGTTAGTCCTCTGAAAATAATAGAATTGAAAAACCTGCCCTTCACTTACAAAATACATTAAAAATACAAATAATCAAACAAAACATAATACCTACAGTGAGCTGCTGTTCATTTTGACCCTAAATTAATTCTGTTTTAGAATGGCTTGATTTTGATTTTTTTGGTAGCTATCTTTTATGATCACATGTGGTACTGAAGAAATCTGTCCTATGTGTAGGGATATTTCACATAGTGCAATTTGATTTATATGTTTAAAGTTTTAAAAATAGATCAACAAGCATCATTAATGAAATTTTCACGTACAACTGTAAGAAAAACAGACTGTCAGCAGCAGTATGCCTTACTGATTCTCCAAGGTGCATATCAGGCTCAGACTGTTAGATATACAGTTTCTCTAATCTGTAAAAGTTTTGAAGATTTTAATATTCTAATTATGGAAGAAAGGATTTCCTAAAAAAAAAGAAAAAGAAAAAATCAAAAGAAATTGTTTATCTGCAGTGAATCAAACTATTAAAATAAAGAAAAAAGATTCACAAATGGCTAATAAGGAAAAAATGGTTGGGGGAAATAAATAGTTTTGATAATTTCAGAATGTTGTCTATTTATTTTGACCAAATAAGTTATAAAACTATTGGGCTGCAACTCACTTAAATATAGAGGGGTCAACTTGTGATAGTTGTACTCATGCTAACATCTACTTGACAATCTGAGTTGTCCGATAGGATGCAGATGCATAGCCCAGTTTATATGCTTATATGACTTTATATGCTGCCTTCTGGAATTGGTATGTAAAGGGCAATCTGAAGACTTAAAAAAATATAACAGGAAGCAAGGTGACTGGGGGAGCAGACCAAACCATATTTTTTGACATTTAGCGTTTTTGGGTCTATAACAAGCAAATGCTGTAAGTATATAAAATATGACTGACCTATACAACTCCTTCTTTTGCACCAGCATTTAATTGGCTTGTTGCCTCTCTGCATACAGAGGGGAAACCACAGACCTCACAGGGTTTGCTCTGGGCTTAAGCTGAAAGATGGTGCAAGTCTTTTAGAAGTGATATTCAAAAGCCTGTGAATGAGTCACCCGAGCATGAAGATGATTAACAATTCACTGCCATGACTGGCACTAGGATTTTAGTGAAATCCTGGACCTGACTTGCCAACTTCTGATAAGCCATACTAGAGGTGTTGAGCATCTCCAAATCTTATTGGAGGTACTCAGCAGCATACATTTTCATATGTACCAGTCTTAGCACAGTCCTGCAAGTATAAATGAGAAGTCTGTGATAAAATAAACAATATTTCCTTCCAGGCTGGTATTGGTTCTGCTACAATGTTGACTCGATTCCGGTGCATGGGAAAGGGAAGCAACACAGAGAATGCCTTCTTCTGGCCTCTGTGGAGGGACACTGATCAGCAAAGCTCACCATCACAGTCACTGTTGTGAAGGGAGCAGAAACACAGCTGCTTCATTCTTCACTGCTTCTCCACCAACAGTCACAGACAATCTTTGTAGAATTCTACTCTTTCACAAAAAATCACAGTGTTCTGGTGGAAAAAATGTGGAATAAAATGATGATCGTTTTTTCAGTTTTGAAAGTATGGAAGAATATACGGAAAAAGCATAGGTGGGGTAAACAGTTACATAAAATAGATAATCAAATGCAGAAAGATGTTTAAAATATTTATAGATCACAGTATCAGTGAGTCAGGCAGTAATATTAGATTCATTTGTAAGAGAAGATTTTCTCCAAACATTCTGTCAATACAACAAGAATGACTAAGATGCCATAATTCTGTGAGAAGAGCTAAAATTCACCATAAGGTCAAGGTATTCAGCAACTACAATTATAATTATTTGTTTGATCACTTGTTTGTTTTTAGTATTTGTATTGCATTGATGCCTTCTGTAAGTAGCTTGTAATCAGGATTGTTGCTTCCCTGCTGGTTACTGTATAAATATTTATGAAATTAGTGAAATAATATTTTAAGGCTTCTTTGAAATGATTCATGGCCAGATCCAAAGCACATACTACACATAAAGCCCCAAGAAAGTGACCCAAAAATCCTTTGATTTTGTAATGGGCAATGAGATTATTTGACATCTCTGAAGAGCATCCCAGAATTTAACCAAGTGACTAATTTAACCTAGAATTTAACCAAGAAACTAATATATGAAAAAAGCAATGCTTTTTAAGGCACATTGCTCACTGTAATCAGGAGGAAACCTTTTTGACTACTGTCTCTTATGGGCATTTCATAGTTTACTAGTTTCACAGAGGTTATTCGCAGGAACTTCTGTAACTGGTGCACAAGAGGAAAGCCAGTATCACTCCCCAGTGGACCTGACTGTCTACTTTCAGCTAAAACCCAGCACCATCTACTCTGCAGGGTGGTGAGCTTTCACCAAGGTATAGGTTTGAAGTAGTCTGATCTTATAAATTAGCCTGAATTGCCTAAAATCACAGTAATAATGGATAAGTATAATTAGGTATAATTTCCCTATATATTGCAAGAGTGACCTTAGAGGAAGTAAATGATTGGCACTGACAAGATGAAATTGTCTTGTTTCCTAGTCTGTTTGATTTTTACTCAAAGATAATTAGAGTCAGGCTCACTAATTACATAACAAGGTATTACATAACAAGGTATTATTTACATTTTGGCCAGTTACAAACTATGAAATATGAATGCATCTGGTCCCAAAGTTCAAGATACTGGAAACAATAAAAATGAAGGTATTTTATACCAGGGTAAGTGTCTTGTCATGTGCGTAATAACATAGAGAGAACATAACAATTACATGGTCACCTGACCAATCTACACATGCCATGTTTTTCTACCAAGAAGAAATAAATATCAAAAGGTTAAAACAACAACAAAAACACCAATCTGATGGTTATCTTGCATTTCCAAATTTTTCAAGTTCTTGATCTTGAATTTCATGCACGAGGTTGTGAGTATTCCCATTTCCTCCCTCCCCTCACACCATTTTAAATTTGTGAAGCAATTTGTGCACTTGTAGTTGAAGCGAAGGCCTCTTCGAGGGGTGAGGCTTTTGCCCCATTCCTCGGGGGGTGTCAGTTACAACAGAACAGCAGAGATTTTCACACAAACCAGCAACTGCTACTTTATATGCTTGGTAATAAAACTTATCATATTCTACAGGGTACATTTTTTGAGTTATCAAGACAGCATTATTCCCTTCAGGAGATCT